AGAAAAAGATAGCGACCTTCGGGGTCTGTCAATTGGGATTCCAGCTGAAAGTTAGTTTTCGAAGAAAGCAGTATAGAGACTCCTTTAGTTTTAGAGTGGGCCGAGGTGGAGTGAAATGCAGTGGGGTATTGGCGATTACAGAGTTTAGGTATGGCATCACTTCTAAAGTGCGTTTCTTGTAGCAGAACCACCTAGGCTTTGTGGTGGGAAAACGCTTGGAGGAATTGGGAACGTTTTTCCGGAAGATTCAGGCAGGGAAGGAATGGGGTGACGTCATTGTGACAAGGAAAGATGAGGCACAGGGGAGTAAGTGAGAGAGATAAGACAGGAGAGAAGAAAAAAAAAAGGGGGAAACGAGAATTAGAAGAGATCAGAGAAGAGTACCGCGGTCGGACAGGGGGTAGGAGAGAGGGTTGGAGGCGAGGTGAGGGAAGCAGAGGGGAGGAGTGGGTGGAGCAAAGGGAAGAGGAGGGGAAAAGCAGTAGGGAAGAAAGGGGGGGGATGTGGTCAGAGAGGAGAAGACAAAGCGTTGGGAATAAAGCAGCGACCCGGGAGATAAGGATTCACTTCCTTATTGGTAGGTAAAATAAGACGTCAGGTCGGGTCGACTCTAATCACGCTGTGTGATCGGTCATGGGGGTGGGGGGATACTGAGGTCAAAGACCAAAATCTGGCCTCTGGGCTAGAGTATAGGATAACGTGGCAGAAAATATGAATGGAGGTGAAACAGGGATGGCATGTAGCAGGGAGGTGTTTCTGGATGAGGGGTGATATTGTGGCCCTTAAACTGTAGCTCGGCCATCGGGGAATTGGATTAATAAAACAACAATCATCAGGCGGACTGACAGGGTAATCTGTCATCGGAACCGTGAGCGTCGAAACACATATCATCAGTTAATTAGGACATAACAGAACCAAACCATAAACAGTGTCTTAACTAGTGACTAAACGTTAGCCCCACTCAGGCAAAGAGAATGAGTGCTTCGGGAAACGGGGAAAAAACAAAACAGCAAAAAAAAAATAGGAAGAACAAAAACATGTTCCTCCCCATACCCCCCCCTCCCAGGGAGGGGGTAGGCGGAGGGGAAGGTTTTCATGTAAAATGGAAGGGTGATACTGCTAATTAAGGGGGAGATACAACATAGATATATATACAGTTGCTTTTGGTATACTGTGGACCCTTACTGCTCTCCCAGGACAATGTATCTATTGCAGGGCAATCGAATTCTGTCGAATGGACAGTATTTCGGGGGCGCCCTCCAGACCCGCATTTAGGTAAGTGCAACCCTCTACTTGGGGTGAACTGGAGGGCAGGGCTAAGCAAACAAGGCAGTCTGCATAGGTTCCAGAAGGTGTCCCCGATGACATTAGACCTACAACCCAGCTGAAGGGTAAAATACATGAGGAAACAGTATATAATATATGGATTCTGCTGCCATGGTATTTAGAGGATAATCATTGCACATTAAGGATCATTTTGAGCACCCCTTGCCTCACACCACCTAGTGTAATGCAGGAGATCTCATGAGATTAAAGATAAGATTTCCCAGCAATGCTCTGCTGATGTAACCGTCCCAGGATGCAACACTTTGGCACATTACTATGGCTGCAACTAATGATTATTTTCATAATCGATTAGCTGGGCGATTATTTTTTCGATTAATCAGATTTAAAAAAAATTAAATACCATCCTTAACCGCCTCCCGGCCGGCCGTTGAATTTAAAAGGCCGTCTGTGAGCTTCCTGGATGTTAGCCCAGCCCTCTCGCACGCGTGAGCCAGAAACTGACAACATTTAAAAACAGGCATCGATGCCTGTTTACATATAGAGCCGGTGGATTGCTTGTATAACGTGCCAGTATGTGCGCGCGCCCGTCAACCCCGCTGCCGCTGGTGCTGAGCTCCGCTGTGCCTGGTGCAAGCCCGGGACCAGCATGGTAGCTCTGTGACGGGATCAGAGGAGATCGGTACACGATCTCTCACCGGTGTAAGAATGCGGAAGTGATGCATATTAGATCACTTCCACATTCTTGTGTCACTCTTGGAGACCCCTGATGTCTCCATAAAGAGGACCCGTCACATCCTCTTTGCTATTACATAGGGGGTTTCTTAGCCCCCTTCATGTGATAACAATAAAGTTAAGTGAAAAAAAAATATATATAAAAAAATTCAAATTGCAAAAAAAATTAGAGTCACACATAAATACGAATTTAAAAAAAACATTTTTTTAAAAAGTCACACTCCATACATACATGCGTGCAAACATGCGTCGGGTGCGCATACGTGCGAAAACGTGCGATTGCGACCATTACGACGCTCATGTTACATATCGCCACGAACGTCGCAGAGAGAGCAATAATCTTAGGGCCTTAATCACTGGTAACACTAAACTGATAAGCGGTAAAAGCTTGTAAAGCGTCGCCTATGTTCAATTCTGGGCAAGGTTGTTTTTTGCGATTTCGCGGGTGCGTGCAATTTTAAGGCTTGACATGTTTGGTGTCTATTTACCCAACTTGACCCCGTCTTTTAGATTTTACCAAAAAATTGGGCAATAATAAATATATTATGACGTTAAGTAAAAATAACTTTATTTTAAAAAAAAGTTCAGCAATTTTTCCTTAATATAGTAAAAAATCCCCAGTGGTGATTATATGCCACCAAAAGAAAGCTCTATCTGCCCCCAAAAATGGTATAAAATGAATTTCAGTACAGCGTTGCATGACGGAATAAATGTCAGTCAAAGTACTGCAGCGCTAAATACTGAAAAATGGCCTGCCTAGGAAGGGGGTGTAAAAACCTGGTCAGCAAGTGGTTAATTTAAAATAAAATACACAAATGCAGTGTTACAAACATAAAGTTTACTGGGTCCTCTTCCAGTCTCACTCTACACTGCCTCTCTTGGTAATCTCATCAGATGACTTCCATTACCACCTCTATGCTGTTGATACTCAGATCTACCTCTCCTCACCAGATCTTTCCCCCAATCTGTTGGCTCGCGTAAGTGATTGCCTATCCGCTGTCTCAAAATGGATGACTACCCACTTCCTCAAACTAAAACCTCTCTAAGACCGAACTCCCCGTGTTTCCTCCCTCTGAGGCTACCCCCATATCCATCTCTTCTACTCCACAGCATGATGCCTGGGCGTACCTTTTTTTTTTCCGTGCTTTTTTACTCTGACCTCTCTTTTTCCCCTCACATTCAGTCTATCACTAAATCCTGTCATTTACATCTGAAAAAGGTCTCTTGAATTTGACCTTCTCTCACTGAGGAAACCACCAAAATGCTTGTTCATGCGCTAATCATTTCCTGACTTGACTACTACAACCTTCTTCTCATCGGCCTGAAACGTGCCCAGATTGCCCCCCTTCAATCCATCATGAACGCTTCAGACAGACCCGTCTACCTTACCTCTTGCTACTCTCATACGTCACCCCTCCGTCAATCTCTACATTTCTTCCTGTTTCTTTTAGGATACACTTCAAACTTCTCAGCTTTACCTACAAAGCTCTGCATAACCGTGCATCGGCAGATTTCATCCCTACTTAGAAGATATACTCCAAATCGGCTCATTCGTTCAACTAATGACCTGAGAGTATCCTGCCCACTGACCCAACTCTTGTCTACAGGACCTCACCAGGGCTGTCCCCACCTCATGGAATTCTCTCCCACGCCACATCAGGCTCTCACCATCCCTACAAGACTTTAAAATATCCTTCAAAACGCACCTCTCACCGTATCAACCTTCCCTTCTGCTCCCAAATCCGTCCCACTTTATTTGGTATACATCTGTAGTCTCCCCTTCCCCACCACCGTGTCTTTGGTCCACTTTCTCTTAGATTGTAAGCACGTTTGGGCCAGTTCCTCCTCACCTGTTTCTGTATGTCAATGATGCTTGTCAGTGTTTCTTACTTGTCTTGTCTAAACGATTGTACAGCGCTGCAGAATATGTTGATATCAATAAATAATTGTAATAAAGTTTACTTTAGAATAAAACTGCATGCACAATTTGTTTGCCATCGCACTGCACTAAAACACACTCGTGGGAGGCGTGTTTGGGTCTGCTATTGAAATGAATGGCACTGCAATGCACCTCCTGCAGCAGAATTTCTTAGGCCTAAACCGAAAATTACTTTTTTCCAACCTTTTTATCTTTTTTTTTAATAATTTTTTTTAAAATATAATTGCACAGTATTGTAAGCACATAGTGCTTTAATATCTTCAGCCAGCTGAGAGCAGGTAGTGGGCTGGTGCAATAGCCAGCCTGCTATTGGCCATTTAAAATGGCCAATAGCAGGCTGGCTATTGCACCCGCTCACTGCTTGCGTGCCCTCCTCCCAGCGTGGAGGAGAGAGCTAGGGGATTCAACCATCTAATCGATAATGAGAATAGTTGACAACGTTTAGTTGGTTGCAGCCCTACACACTACATCATTTGTGCTAGAATTGAACCAGGAAGTAAATGAACTCTATTTGTAAGTAAATTAAAAAACATGTTTGTTTTACTAATGAAGTTAAGATGATTTTAATTCAGCATGCAGAGCTTTATGCTGATGGGACTTTTAGTGAAAGGGGGTAAAAGGTCCACTTTAAGACTTGCAAAGTATAACCATTTTTTTTCATTTGACTACACTACATTACTGTAAAGTTGTTGGTCATTATGCTTTACAACATTTTATTATTGCAATAGCAAGAAATGAATGTTAATTTGGCATGATAATATTTCTCTTCTAATATTCTCATGAACTCAAGTAGTTATGCAGCCATTTGATATTCTGGCATATAGCTTTTCTTTGGGCTTTGGAGTACCTTTCTACTACAGTGTAAAAATAAAATGATGAAAATCGGCTTGCAGAGAGTGAAAACAAAATTTAAAAAAAGGCATACTCCGCCTTCCAGTTCTTTGTACTTTTCTAAATGATCTTTCAACTTAACTTTTGACAGATGAGATACAACAGGTGACATTTTGTTATTGCCAATTTATTATTCTGTGTTTCTGTTTAGATAACAGTATCTGATGAAGAAGTTACCAATCCTGCATGCATGGATCTGGTCAGAACTCCACAGATGAGAAAGTGTACTTTAATTCTTATGTATGCATGGTAAGACTTCTATTATAAAATCTTTTTCATCACAATTACAGCAGTGTTTTCCTGTATTTTAGACCTGCTATATACTGTATATTTGTATCTCAGAATTTCATTCACCAGCTTGTAACAGAGATATATCTTACTGTTTTTGCCAGCGTTAAAGCAAAACCCTAGTACAGGGCTCAAATTTTCAGGCCCTGAGCTACTAGCCAGGCCTTAAGAGTTACTCGCCACCAGTTGCCCTACCTAACCCCTACCCTGCCCCAGGGTAGGGCGGAGGTTGCTGCAGGTGGCCGGAGTGAAGGGAAGACGGCAGAACTGATTCTTCTCCTCCTTGGCCACTCTGTAGCTGCAGCGGCCGCAAAGGAGAAGAATCAGTTTGGCTGTCTTCCCTTCACCCCGGCCAGAGAAGAGAGAGCGACCGCCACAGAAGCAGCAGTAGTTTCACCCCCGGCCGATTAATTTCCTCTCACCCCCTCGCAATTTTCACTCGCCAATTGCAAGGGAGCGAGTTGAAATTTTGAGCCCTGTTCTAGTAGCAGGTTTACTTTCTGTTAGTGGTCAGTTGTCCCCAAAGAAAGGCACACTAGTTTGACATGAGTCTTAGATATTTAGCTAGATTTAGACATAGCTAAAGTTATGATGCAGTATTAGTAACAGTGAAAAGGGATCAGTCAGAATAAGTCAGGCACTTTATACATTCTCTGTGCTGGCTTAAAGGTTAAGGACCCACACATATTTACACAAATTTCAAATTTTTATTTAAACAGATTTGGCAATTGTTTGCTTGTTCACATCATATGAGCATTAAGAACCACAAGATCTGCTCCTCTGACTGGGAATGCAGCACATGTCCTGTACGAGTGTCATTTGCTTCCTTCCAGATTAGGGTTTGATGAGCAGGTGAAAGATGCTCCAACACGATGGACAACCTGTGTGTGCAGTAAATAGTGCTGCCAAGATTTGAATCTGTTAAATTGCATTCAACTATCAGGTTGAGTGTAGCAACCCTTGGTATTTTTCCAGCCTCAGTTCAATACTTTATAAAGGTAGAGGCATCCTTAAATTTGTGTTTAGTGTCTCTAACGTTAAAAATATGACCTGAAACTAATGACATTAAACTAATGACATTGCAGTCATACCAGAAAAATTCCATACCAATAAGTAAACTGCCCTGCTCCTGAAGTGGAAATAAAAATGAAATGTAAAGTGTAAAAATCTTGAAGCTTGGTTAATCATGCTACTATGCAGTGTGAGTTTTAATGGCATCTAGACAAGATGGATACTGGACTAAGTTATACCAATCAATACATCAGCAGTGGGTTGCATGATGCAACTTAAACAGATAATTAAGTCCATGATGGTGCAGCAAAAATCAAGGTTATTGGTGCCCTAGTCACGTTTAAAGGATATGCAGGTAATGAGAATATAAGTATGTCGGTGACATTTACAAGTACAATATATGAAGTAAAAGTAAGAATAACAAACAAATTAAAATTATAAGAAACTAGACCTGTAATGCTTATCTCCTCATGCCCTTACAACTGTAGACAGTGCAGAGATTAAAATTGGTCTTGGATGGCATTTTGTGGGTGAAACAGTGAGACCTCACTAGGATGTCAAAAACATCTAGAGAGATTTCACACACACAATTCAGTTTGTGAGGCCCAAAGTAATTTTTAATTTTCCTCAAAGTCCTCTCGGAATGTTATCCTTCATCATATCAACTGGAACTGAGAGTGCTATTTAAAATGATCGTGGTTTCTCCCCCCGTATAGCTGGTAATGCTTAAAAGGAACTTCGCCTCAAAAGTGTTAGTGAAGGAGGTTACTGAAGATGTGTTGCTTATATTCACAGGTTATCATGAATGTTAGATCCGGGCCTCATTGCTTTCATAATAATGCAGGTTAAACCCATGTTTCTTTGCATAGTACTGGTAGAGGATCAGTGCCCTAATACATCATGGATGCTATCTTGTTCTCCAGTCTAAGTTGAGATCATCTGAAACTAACCTCTAATGAAATGAAAGAATAAAGTAATTAGCCTTCTCACTTTTCTAACTCCTGACATAGAAAACTATTGAAACTTGGGCTCTTGAAGGCTTCCATTTTCAGTTCTTCAGGAACATGGTTGATTTTTTTAGAGGTTTGCCTGTCTAGCAAATGTGTGTTAATTTCATCCTATTCATTTTTAAAAAGAATGTTCATCCTGTTTGAACATTGGTTTGCTGAACTGGCAAATTGGTGAGCTAACCCCAGCTAACTTCAAATTTGGTGAACTAACCCCATGTAATAGGAGCATTGTGCATGAGATACTGTATCTGTTTGGCTGAAAAAATGCTAGCTGGTTGTTTTATTGACATATGTATTTTTTTCTTATGTTTAATTTTAGTGATTGTATTTTTTTTTCAGGTTTACAAGTGCAGTCATTTACCAGGGTCTTGTTATGCGCCTAGGGATCGTATCTGGGAATTTATATACAGACTTTTTTATTTCTGCTGTGGTGGAGTTACCAGCTGCTGTTCTTATTCTAATCTCAATTGATCGCATTGGGAGGAAACTTCCATTTGCCTTGAGTAATGCTGGAGCGGGCATAGCTTGCCTAATAACTGCTGCAATATCAAAAGGTATTAACACAAAAGCAAAGATGAGTATTTTCACTAACAGACATTCATTACTCTGAATATACCAGCGATATCCTTACATGCTGAGCAACTAATTTTTAGTGAACATACGTACATAGAAATATCTTCCTCATAAATGTAATAATATGACAGAAGTTGAACTTGAGGCTACAAAATGTAACTTGTGAAGCCTTGACTTCAAACCAAAGTAGGTTTTCAAAGACCCCCCCCCACCCCCACACACACACACACACACACACCAAAACACACATGCACACCAGCAAATTAAAACTCTTTATAGGACAAGTCTAAGCAACCTCGGAACTCCAGCTGTTGTGGAACTACAGAACTACAGGACAAAACTAAACTTAACTGTGAAAAAATATCTTCAGTAATCTTAAATAAAAACCTGTGCTGAGAAATATCGAAACAGCAGCAATTTATTACCTCTTGAAAATAGTAGTTTTGCCAGCTGTCCTTAACCTCAATACTTTCCCCAAGTTGCATACTTGTTCTGAAATAGTGACTGTGAAAATATTAAATTCTTAAGATCATCATGACGTCCAGGTGAATGGAAGAGGTCAGCAATAGCAGCCTAAATATTTTCTCATTGAAGGTTTCCTTTAATTATAGCTCTTTAAGCATGTCACTGCTTCTACACTTTAGGTATAAGGAGCTTATACATACAGTGATGTTATAAAGGTTCACAAGACCTGCCTGTTAGGCACATGGCTTACTTGCATTTTTTTAAGCAATCCTGCCACTGCCGAACTGTTGGCACAGCAGGATTGCAAAAAACAATCAAAGTTGCAAAAAACAATGCAAAGATGATACTCCCTGTTTCCATCCATTGCTTCCTTGCTAGTCAGGTAACTGAGGCAACGGACCCTCGTGATCTGAAATCCAATAGAATGTCAATGGATGTCAATGTGAATGGAGCGATACCGTGCTTATCTGGCCATCAAGGGAGCAATGTGCGAAAAAGCGTTAGTATTACTTTGTCTGAGTTGTCCCCAGCCATGAGATTGCCTGTCAACTATGACCCTTATGTGTAAGGGAATTTTCCCAGCTGGCCATTTAAAGGGAATGTACATTTTTTTTTATTTTTTATAAAGTTCTTTATAGGTTTTTTTTTAAATGTCACAAGTCCACTGGAGTGGTATCCACAGTTTAGACCAAATTATACCCATTAGTTAAAACTAGTGTGGTTAAAGCAGTATATACTTTGTATTTCTGCTTTTGCAGCCAAATTGGAATGACACCTATTTTATATTTGTTACATGTTTCCATCTACATGGCATAACTTGAAATTAAAACAAATCTGTTTACATATTATTTTCTGATATTACTAGTTTTCTCTAAACTGAATTTTCCTCTGGAATGCAAGGGGGCAGGGGAGGTTACCATAATTAACCCTGTTTGTACTGTGCTGGCTGATCTCTTTATCTAGATTTGAACACACTGTCCTAGCAAAGGGTTAAAGATCTACGAGCATTGTATTTTAATGAGAGGAAGCTCATCTTTCTATGGGGACAGCCAGAGTTTCTTGTCACTATTCTAGAGAGAAACTTGCAGTCTGTCTAAAGCCCTGCTCAACAGAAATACCTAAAGGGTAAGAACTATATTTTTAAAAATTAACTTTAGGTCTGCTGTGTAAATAAAAAAAAAGCATAACAAACATATAGTGGAGCTTTCTCAAATATGCCTGCAAAAATGGAAATACACTTTAAATTTTCAAAATATTGCAAGCCACTCACAAATGGTATGTGGATTTTAAAATTATGTCCTTACATGTATAATTATTAATGAAATAACAAATATTTCTTCATTATATATTGAAGGATAATTGTAAACAAGATTGCCTTTTGCGCTTATACAATTTAGTGTCTTCTATATTTATGCAACATTTGCACGCTAGAAATGCTAATAGAGATGGCATGAAGTAAATCTTTTATAAGAAACAAATATATGCTTTTGAGTGACTGTGCAACTAGGGGTGAGCAAATTCAGCAAAGTTTGGTTTGCTGGACATTAGCCAATTCCAGGAAAAGATCCCTAACCTAGCAGTGAACCCCACTGAATTCTGTGGGAACTAAATCTTGGAATTTTATAAAAAGGCCACATTGCAAGCTTTTATTTTAAAAAAAGGTAATGGGGAGCTGGACACTACCATGGGGGACATGTACAAATGCAAAAACATGCAGTCTAAAGGGCAATTCCTTTAACCACCTCCCGTCCATGGTCGTTCCTGAACGGCCGGACGGGAGCCTTATAGGAGCGGGAGGGCTGCACAAGTGGGGAAACTGTCAGCAATGTAAACAGCCAGCTATCGCTTGTAGTAGGTGCGGGTGTGCACCCTCCCCGCCATCTCCGTTACCGCCACTGTCAGTCCCGGGATCCTGTGTGGCTGGGACCGGCACGGCGATGCTGTCAGTGGAGTTCAAACAGAGATCAGTACACGATCTCCCTTTGATCTTCTCTCTGGTCCCCGAATGCAGGAAGTGATGTATACTACATCACTTCCTGCATTCAGTGTCACTCTATGGGTACAGGTGCCGATGAGAAGCTGATAAAGCAGCTCTCTGCTTCATCAGCTTCTCTGGGGGTCCCTAGGTGACATTAGGGGTCTTAGAGACCCCTGATGTCTCCATAAAGAAGACCTGTCAAGTGAATTGGCTATCACATAGGGGATTTCTTAGTCCCCTATGTGATAGCAATAAAGTTAAGTGTAAAAAAAAAAAGTTTAAAAAAAATTAAAGCATAAAAAAATAAAGCTAAAAAAAATAGTCACAAATAAAAAAAAATGTTACATAACACAAACATTTTGTTAAAGTCCACCGCTCCCCCTCTTCCCCCCCACATACACACAATGATTCCGCAAACGTAGGAATGAGTACAATAATGTTAGGGCCATTAATTACTGATAACACTAAACTGATGAGCGGTAAAAGCTTTCAAAGCGTCGCCTATGGCCAATTTTAGGGGTGGCCATTTTATCAGTTTTCACGGGCGCGTGCAATGTGAAAGCTTGACATGTTTGGTGTCTATTTACCCGACGTGACCCCGTCTTATATATTTTACCAAAAAATTGGGGTGATAACTGTATAGTAAAAAATAAAAACCCCAGCGGTGATTAAATACCACCAAAAGAAAGCACTCTCTGTCCCCCCAAAAACAGTATAAAATTCATTTCAGTACAGCGTTGCATGACGGAATAAATGTTAATCAAAGTACCGCAGCGCTGAATACTGAAAAATGGCCTGGCCAGGAAGGGGGTTTAACACCTGGTCTTCAAGTAGTTAAATAACATGCTTGGGTTGCCTTAAACCTGCTCAGGAAGTTGTGCACCAGTACAATATACTTCTCCAAAAGTTACGTTTACTTAAAAAAAAAAAAACACTCTGTCGCTAAATGATAGTTCCCAGGCCACTTTGTTCTGTTTGTAAAAAAAAAATAGTTCTATTTTAAATTAGCCTGTTTTATTATTTATCAGTGTGTTTTGCATGAAAATAACTTTTTATTGAAATGAAATGTTTATTGGTTTGCAGATGTAATGTGGCTTAAAATAACGTTAGCCACACTGGGACGACTGGGAATCACAATGGCTTTTGAAATAGTATACTTCATTAATACAGAACTGTATCCAACACCACTGAGGTAATTAAAATACCATTTGTCTTTATGATGCACTATCCTATTTAAGTGTATCTAAAAATCAGGTCATTAAAAATCGGATACTATCAAATGAATTAATTTCTCACACAATCATACATTTTAGACTTGGATTTAACAAAGCAGAACTCCAAGATTTTGTTATATTAACCCTTGCAGTGGGGCTACCCCCGCACTGCAAGGGTTAACTGCTTGTTTTTTGGCTAGGTTAAAAAAAAAACAATAATATACTCACCCAAAGCTCCGAGTTGGCTTCTTCTTAGGCCAGTCCCTAGAATGTCTCTCCCCCTCCTCTGCTGCAGGCTAAGGTCCCATAAATCATAATGTCTATACACTGTGGTTAGACGTGAGGACGGTGAGGAACATTCTAATGTGCTGCAGAGGATGGGACAAGCTGGAGGGAGCACCGTTAACAGCTGGCCAGCCGGAACTTTGGGTGAGTTTATCTTTGTTATTTTAACACCTAGACACAAACAAGCACTTAACTCTTACAGTAAGTAAGAGGAATTTGACATTACCCATTTGGTTTGTGCTACCTTTTATAGAACAGGCATACTTTTCCATGGTAGTAGATTTAGTGTAGCTTTTAAGTCGGGGAATGTGGTGTTACATGAAAGGGTTGTTGTGTTAAAGAAGTAAAGAATGTTTCCTTAGCAAAGTGAATATTAATTTTACAAAGTAAAGGTCTTTTCACTTAATAAACGCTGCCCTATGCAGAGGACTTTAAAAAGATCAGGACTTTGCCTTGCATATGTCTGGATGTTTGACATAAACACCATTAAGTGCATTTATAGCTAAAACTTTTTTTTGTTTTTGATAGAGTAGAGGTGGATTATAACTCATTTAGGGGACTTCACATAGATTGGTGCTAAGTTTTAACAAGAACAGTTTCTTCTGTCTATGACAAGTGGTGTACATAGCCCTAGATTCGTGTACACTGTACAGACAAAAAAATCCCATTCATTTCTATGGCCCTGCTCACATCTGAGCGTTTTGTCAAAATAAGCAAAACACCTGTGGCTGGGATAAGTACATGAGCTTTTTTGGGGCATATTACAGCTCGTTTTGGCCCCGTAGACTCAATAGGAAATGCTTGAAATTTTGCGTTTGCTGTGTTTTTGAGCATTGTTACGCACATTTGCTCATTAACATTAATGAGGTGCAATCTGCATAAAAACGCGCAAAAAACGTGCATCAAAAATGTGCGTAAAAACGCTGTTGCCTAGGTGTGAACCCAGCCTATGAGTGGAATTCTACTCTCTTTGTAGAGATCTCCTCTCAGCACTTGCATAGGACAGGAAGTGATGGGAATTCTTCTTAACAGCACATAGTACAAATATGCTGATGGTTTTTTTTACCCCTACCTACTCTGGTCAAAATAAAACATGGCTCCTCCCTTAGTATATTAACTGTAATGACTGCATTTGACTGCTGTAAATGCACAGTGAACCACAAATTAATACACTTCTCCCTTGCTTATTATGGAATAATATTAAAAGGAATTCCTTACACCGTTAAATGGGTTGAGATACATTTGTTTGCATTGTACGTTTCCAGATAATGTTATGTAAGGTTATCAGATTCAAAATTTTTCTTATGCAGACCTCTTAAGAATTGTCTACAGGGCTAATTATAATCAAGCTCTGAGAAGACTAACAAATGGCTCATCCAATCAATGCTTCAGCAGTAACAATTGCTATGATTATGGCTGCTCAATCATTGAACTTTCAAAGAAAGTAGCTGTAGCTCACTAAGAAAGACTTACAGTACTTTGCAGTTCTACAAAGTTTTACTTTTGTGTTTCTATGTATTTTATAGTATACTGTATGTAAATACAGTTTCTTGAAAATCTAGTTGGAAGTTGGAGCTTCCTGCTGGTCAATATCACAAAAGGAGCAGATTAAGCTGTTTTAGGAATTTTCTAAAATTGGTTTTGATGTTCTGTGCCAACACACAGCATGAACAAGAAAGTAATCACGAGGCTGCTGATAAATTTACTGTGACAGTAAGGTAGGAGAACCCTGGAATGTATTAATGAACAACATCGGTCTCTGAATACTTTGGTTAATGGCACTAATGACCCTAGTGCAAACACATACAACAGCTGTATAAGCACATAAAGAGCTTCTTTTTCCTATAGGAAAGCAGCTAATAAGCAGCTCATTATCCAACCCCCTCCTAAAATATATGTGCCCTACTCAGGCCAAGTTCACATCTCTCAATGGCTGCTTTTATCCATTTTTGTGTATTTTCCCCATGCATTATAGTGCATTTACAAGCATTTTCAATATACCTTGCATTGCATATATATAATGCATTTTTTGGTCTAGCAAATAAGCATTGAATTCCTGCAGTGAAGTTGTGGACTTCTGCATATACAATACAATGCAATCATACACAGAATTTGTAGAAGCCATCTTGTTTGGAGCAGTGTGTGAGCAGAAGGCAGGAACTTGTTGCCAGGGGCTGGGAACTATACGCGCATTTTAATGTGTTGCCATAGATTTCTGTGGCCCTCACGGCACATGAAAATACTACCAAAACAAGACATGCCTCATTTTTTTCACAGTGCAAGGCAGATCATAAATATGAACAGTCTTTTGTGTTCTAACATGTGCACTAAAATGCGGAATTGTGAAAGGGGCCTAAATCATGCTGATTAACAACACAGATCACAGCAATTGAAAGATATTTGCTGAAGGAGAAAGAGTGTAAAGAAATCCTTGCAGATGTTCTAACCCTTCCCCGTGTAGTCCAAAACGATAAATCTATAAAAAGCGTTTGTCTGGAGTGCTGCTTTAACTGTCTCTGTAACAGGATCAGAATAGTGAAAGCTCCCACTGCATGGGGTTTAATTTCTTGTTTTCCCTTCAGAACTACAAAGCTATGGCACACAAAAGTGAGTACACATTCTGCATATTTAATTGCCAGTTAGAGGCACAAGAACACTTTAAACAGTAACTACTGTTCACAGAAAAAGCTGTAGTGTTTCTAAAATTACATCAATGGTATTTTATGTACAGCTCCTTGGGGATGACAAAGGGGAGACCCTCATTGTTTCTAAATGTTTTCTTTTTTTTTTTTTTTTTTTTTTTTTTACTCCTAGAAATTTTGGTGTATCGTTATGTTCAGGAATGTGTGATTTAGGAGGAATTATTGCACCATTTCTGCTATTCCGATTGGCTGAATTATGGGTGGAGCTGCCGCTCATCATATTTGGTGAGATTGTACTGTAATGGTTCATACAATAATAATATTGTGATGTGCAAAAATACACACATTGTAATAAATGGAAATCTAAACATCCTAAAAACGAAATGATAAAATAAGTAGCACTTTGGAAAAAAGGCAAAAATGGGAAGCAACATGGGGCATTTTACAGAAATTTGAAACTCTGATGGAGAAATTTTGTGGCTGGTTTTCTTCAGGACACTTGACAAATGCCGTTTAAAGTTTCATTTAACTAAACTTTGAAATAATTGGAATTTCCCGAATTTTGGACACAAATATTTTTGGCTATTTTGATTGGTTGAGTTTTGGGTGAAGCTGCCACCCATCATTTTTGGTAAGATTTTACAGTTCTGTAAATGTAAGATATTTCAAACATTTTTATATTATTATATTTTATTTGCAAAAGCAACCAGAGAATGGAAATCTAAACATTCTAAAAACTGAATGGTAAAATTATTAAATTGAAAAAAGGCAAGAATGGGAACCAAACGTGAGCCACCTCCCAGTTTGCAGAAGAATGTGATACCATGATGGAGCAAATTGGTTGTCTTTCTTGATGGTGCTGCATACAGGTCACTGTACTTTATACTTTAAACCTTTTCATGTGCATAGCATGTGTGCAGTAAAGTATTTGAATGTTAAGGTTGGGTTCACCCTGTTAAGCTGCATTAGCGCACATGCGTTATGTTGCTTGTTACCTTGTGTTAAGGAAGCCCATACATGTGCATCGGCTGCTTAATGCACCAAAACACCAAAAAAGGTGCAAGTCCATTTTTGGTAACAGTGCGCTACAACGTATGGTGTTGTGGTACACTACAATGCACATCTGTTGGCAAAGTGCATTGTTGTGCCATTCTAAAAATGAATGAATGGCCCTGCATTAACATGTTACCACAGCCCAGTGGTGTAAACCTAAAAGAGAAAAACACCACTGAAATTCTACTTTTTGCTTTGTTTTTGTTCAGGAATTCTTGGCCTTATATGTGGCGGCCTAGTTATGCTATTACCTGAAACAATGGGAATATCCTTACCAGAAACAATTGAGGATGTTGAAAATCTTTCAAAGTAAGTTCCATAAGTGTTAAATGTAATATCAGTAGAGAGTCATTTGTAAAATGAGAAAGCAAGGAAATGACTTTTAAGACAAGCAAAAACCATAACAATTTAGACACTCATTGTTCATGCAATGACCTCATGTATGACAAGCAAACATTTATAAAATTTGGAGATCAATTGTTCATGCAATAATTTTTTTTCTATGCAGTTACAAAAGGACCAGGGCTGAGAGATCTTTCATAAAAAAAAAAGATTGGACAGGTTATGGAACCTTGAAACACTATTGTTTTTTGTGCACTAAATACAGATGTGTGCTTTAATATTTGCAAGTACTCTTTCCCTATATATCAGCTAAGCCACCTAGGATGGAGACCTGAATTGTTGATGAGATGTTCTCATAGTTCAAGATATCACTAATTATTACTTTGTCCATTGGTGTGCTAAAGTTTTTGCTAGAGGGGGAGGGGCAACTTTATTTAGTGCTGTAAGGGATGCAAAGGCAGCTGTTATTTGACATATATTGTAGAACAGGGGTAGGCATACGCCTAGCTGTGGTGCAACTATAATTCCCTAGAAGTATTGCAAGACTCCCAGAGGCAGATGCATGATGAGATTTGTGGTGTCATTGCAGCTGGACGGCCAGAGTTTGCCTACCCCTGGTAAAGAGTATACTAACTATGCAGATGTTGGATTTTCTTATTGTTTATTGTTGAGCTGCTTGTTACTTTCTCTGTATTACTGTTGAATATATGTTAACTTTTATTTTAGGCGTCTAAAACCTGGGGAAAAAGAGAAGATGGACAGTGCTATTTTTCAAGGTCATATAAAAACTGATGTAAGATGACCTTCACCCAGACAAAACATTTTGCGAATTAAATCAAGATTTGTCTGCTACCAGCTTTGTACATGTATATAAAATGTATATGCTAAACTGTTAAATCTGTAATGCACTCTGTAATACAGAACCCTTAAATGTCAAGAACTGTAAAAGGGTATTTTAAGCAATGAAATATATTGTTTTTATACAAAGTAATATTTTTACTATTATTTTATCTTAAGAATTTCATCTAAATATTGAAGTATGATAGAATTACCAAGTAAATGTTTTTAATTTTCTTAAAGTGCAAGTTCATTTGTATAGCTTTTTCTACCTTTAGCATATTTGCTGTCCACTGCAAGTGTTCCCTTCTATTAGCTATATTTTGCTGCTACCTATATACAGTAGATGATATTTAATGTTTCAATAGCACAAAGCACCAATTAAATAAGACTGTACTTCTGGTATAAAGCTGGGTAGGTTTAAAACCTCCCCAATGTTTGCATTGCTGTGTCTCCTACTGGGACAGGAAGTGGGGTAATATCGATCTACTGGGAACACAGAAAACAACATATTAGAATAGAATGGGGAGGGGTCATACTTCCTGCCAGGATTTTAATTACTGACCCTTTTGGGTGGATTTTCTTTCACTTCCTGCCCCCAAAATAGCTGTCGCATTTTAAATGCTTTTTCAATGCATTCTGAACATATGCTCTTTAGGCTAGTCATTCACAGCTCAAACTTCAGTTGATTCTTGCTGAATTGGCTGGCATTTTAGCCATGGGTGGATTCCTCCATCTACACAAAACAGTGCGGATCGAGTGATTTTCTCTTGTGTGCATGCATGGGTAGCCTTAGACTAGCCCTTACAAGCTAGATGAACAAATATGATCTCATGCTGCTGAGCAATTTACAGAGTCAACAAATTGAGCACTCTTCTAGAAACTTGTGTGAGTTAGCCACAGAGCACTATACAGGTCCAGAGCCACAGCACATCGTCTGGTGCAACCCTCTCCCTGCAGACTCCTGAGGGAGTATGCCCACTGTGAAGTGGAACAAAGATAGTTTGGATGGGACATGTTCCCTAGATCCTGCCTTTATATCTCCACTGCTGCAGTAGTCAGGGCATTGCCCTATATAAAGGGAGCCTGATGGTGCTTTTAGTTTGCTCCAGTCATTCTCCTATGGGTTTAAGCCAGGAGCTTCGGTCGGTTGCAAACTGGTGGTGGGAAAGAATGCTGAGGAATATTTGGAATGGAAACAAATGTTGGAGCTCAATGTATCTTACTGATTCTAGCTGAACCTTCTACTTTGTCTGCGTGGGCCTTGTTGTCTCTCATCGTATGCATGCCATTTTCTGCTGTGCGTGTGGACCTCTGCATGGACTTACCACTATCTCCTCAGAAACTTCTATTACCCCAGTCCTCTGGACATTTACCTTGCGTTCCCTTCTTCTTTACAGTGACTTGGTCATGGACGGCATTAACCGATCCTGCTCCAGCAGTGTTTGTGAGTATCCCTTGTAGCTAATTCTTCACTTGCATACTTAGTATGGCAAATAATGAGCTCAGGGGCAGGGGTTCTACGGGTTTTGGCAGCTAACAATCCACAACAGTTCCCGGCTGGTTTGCAGTGTACCGTCTATGGGACATGAGGCTTGCCTGAGCCACAGCACTCATAGACCTCCTTAACTCCTTCTGGCATGGCTACCTCCTCTGCTTTTTCCAAGGCCAAATTCTATGCTACTGTTTCTGAGTTTTAGGAAAATTTCAGCCAGCTTAGCTTACTCAGAATGCAGGAGATGTAAGCGTGCCTCCACACCTTCTGCTCCAGTCTAGCTCTGATTTTCCTCTGGCAGCAACTGGTTTTGCACAGTCAGCTGAAGATGAAGAGAAATGTACCCTGTCCTTGTTTGAGGCACTACTGCAACCTGTTTGTGTGCTCATTGGCCTAATCTAGATAAGGTGTTCATTCTTCCCAAGAGCTTTGCCCAGTAATATCCTATTGAGAAGGGGCTCTCTAAAAAGTGGCCCATCCCTTTAGTGGACTAAGACATTTCCTGTGCTCACAAGATTCTGACTGTAGAGGACATCCCATTGTTTAACGACCCTGTGAAGAAAAAGCTAGAATCTCTTAACAAGGCCTTATCTCTGCCTTGCCATATGCAGTCTTGACCAGTTCCAGTGGTACTCAGTTCTGCCATAAGTCCTGGACTCCCAAAAGCTGGACCAAGGATTTTACGGACGATTGGACCAAGAACATAGTTTTCAGGGGCTACAGGCTAGAATTTCAGTCTTTGCTAGCGCTTTGCTTCATGTTGTCAAACCTTTCAAAGTCCCAACAAAGACTAGTGGACATCCATGCTTCTCTAGCACAGCTCCTCTCTCAAGGGCTAATAGCAATTGTTTCTGAAAAGGAAAGGTTCCAGTGTTTTTACTGAAAACTTACAGTCCCCATTTCGCTAAAGTCAGCATGGAATCTATGTCGGTCATTGCTTCCCTCTGCCCAGGAGACTTTCTTGCCTCTGTGGACATTAACGATGCCTACTTGCATATCCCCATCTTTCTGGTGCATTGACACTTTCTGTGTTTGTTTTTTGGGGGTTTTTTTTGCGTTGGGCACCCAAGATTGCACATCCTTATGGTCTGTTCATTGTGCCTTGGAGTGTTAGTTCCTCTACTTGTTTTGCTTCACTCTCAGGACATTTCCTAGTGGGTTACCTGTTCCCATAGGGAACATTTAGCACAGTCTGTCAGCCTGTGTCCATCAAACTGTTCAAGCTCTGGGGCATGGCTTGACAATGGCAGAGTGAAGACACATTTTGTGCAATCTTTGCACAGTGTCTCCTCTCCCTTTTTACAGCCCTACAGCCTTACTTTCTCACGCCTGAAAGAACAGTGGAAAATAAAAAAAAACACTGGGCACCTGACCTGGTGCAATAATCCTTTTTATTGGTAAATGTAATAATAAAACAAGAAAAACATGTCAAATTGGACTGATAGTCCTCACTAGATGAACTGCTGTGGGGATGAATGGAATGTCCAGGAGCTCTGCTAAAAGCAGAGTCACGCTTCCTGCAGAGCTCCTGGACATTCCATTCATCCCCACATCCCCAGTTCATACAGACTCCAACCCCTATTAGATCAGATCAAGCTTAAAGGGTGATTGCATAATTTGGACCATCCCTTCAGTCTCCTTATTCATTCCAACTGAAACTTTTTGTCGCCTGCAGTATCCCTCACAGACTCCAACGTCATGCCACTTTCTGGGCATAGATCTACTCAACATACCTGATTGGATCAGTGGTTTGTCTCCGGCACCTCTTCCAGAGAACCCCTAGTGATCCGAGATCAGCTTGCAGGCACCCTCCAAGTTACCCTCTGGATCACCACCAGTACCTGAAGCTGAAGCTCTTGCTCCTTAATACCCATCTGCCCTATTTTATTTTATTTAATATTGTTAACTATGGACTAGTCCATGTACAGTAAACTCCCCATTATCCAGCATTCAAGCAACCTAAAAAAAACCTAGCAATTTGTTTTGCTAGTTGCTTCATAGACATGCACACTAAAAATTTTTGTCAGCAACTAAATGTATTTAGTTGCTAACAACATTCTCTGTTTACATCTTGCTGCGGCTGACGGCTAGATTTCTCAGCTGGAAAGTGAAGGTAAACAACAGGCAGTGGGCGTGTGCAATAGCCAGCCTGCTGTTAGCTATATCAATTTGAAATAGCCAATAGCAGAATCTAGTGAGCAGATTAATGGGGCGGGGGAGGGGAGCTGTTGCTTGAGAGGTAATAGTAACTCAAGTAACCAGAAACTACAGATATCCGGCATCTACCAATCCCCATGGGTACCGGATAAGTTGGAGTTTACTATACTTTGCTGCTTTAGTGTACAGTTGAGGAACAGTTGTGTGATATTTTCCCTCAGAAGCCAAGATGCCTCGAAACTGTAAACAATGCAGATAACTTCTGCTACATCATTTGTGGCGAGGTTACATTTGCTTCTCAAAAGTGCAGTATGACGGCATTGGTAAAAAAGGCATTCCACCTATATTTTGGATGCAAAATAGGGGATCAGGACAAGAGTTGGGCCCCTCATTATTGTTGCATTACATGTGCAACTTATTTGCGCCATTGGCTAAACAAGAAGAAAAAGTCCATGCCGTTTGCAGTCCCAATGGTGTGCAGGGAACCCACCAATCATAGTAGCGCCTGCTATGTTTGCATGGTTCCCCCATTTGCAAAAGGGATCTCAAGAAAGAAGAAGTGGACCGTGGAATATCCAAACATTGCATCCGCACTGTGTCTTTACCCCATGTTGAGGACTTGCCTATTCCAGATCCACCAGAATTATACTCTCTATACTCAGATGATGATAAAGACAATGAGCAGGATGAAGCTGATCCAGGGCTGTCAATGTCAGCGGACCCAAACTTTAGCCCACCATATGCTCCTCCTGAACCACATCTAATTTCACAAAGTGAACTAAATGACCTGGTCAGTGATTTGGAATTGCCTAAAAGTAAGGCAGAGCTACTGGGCTCCAGATTACAACAGTGGAACCTCTTGTAGAGTGATGTCACGATTTCCATTTTCCATGATCGCCAAAAACATCTGATTCAGTATTTCTTAGTGGAAGGTGATTTAGTTTATTGCAATGATATCGATTGGCTTAATGACAGCCCTTAACATTACCCACAATCCAGCTGAATGGAGATTGTTCATAGATTCATCTAAAATGAGTCTAAAAGATGATTTATTGCACAATGGCAATGTTTTGCCATCCATTCCTGTCGGACATGTAGTTCACATGAAAGAAACATACGAAAACGAGAAACAGCTGCTGAGGTGTTTAAAGTATGAGGAACATCGGTGGCAGCTCTGTGGTGATTTGAAAGTTGTTGCCCTGTCGCTTGGCCTGCAGGGTGGATACACGGAGTACTGCTTCTTAGAGATTCTCATAATGTCAAGAAAGACTGGCTATCACGACAGTCCTGGGAGCCAGGAAAGAAAAATGTTCAAAATCCAGCTCTTGTTGACTCTCAGCTTTATATGCAACGGTGGTAACCAAATTTTCTGAGGCTGATGAAGAACTTTGTAAAGGCTATGGACAAG